TAACAAGATATGAAATGAAATGTTGGTGTTTTCCCCCGTATTAAATTTCATTTTTTGCACATAGGTTGTCTGAAGGACCATCTAAAGATATATATATTTGTCAAAATTAACTGATATAAAGTGTATTGTGCTGATTGACAAGTTCAGTTAACATTTGTTGGTGCATTACCTGAACCGAGAATGACCAGAAGGCCATCGGAATTTGTGTCGTTTTTTCAGGTGGACAGTTAACTTTGAGCCTCGGCTGAACACTGACTTACACACGTGGCAGGCGTACTTCTGGACATCCACCTCCTGTCAACACACATACAATGACATGTTCTACTCTACACAGTTCCCTAAGGCCAGGATCTAGGATTCTTGTGTCCATAGTTAAATATGTACAGTAAATATTATTTAGTATTTCTGCAAATTTGAGACTGATTTTCAAGAGAAATCTTTATTTCATGGAAATTATAATCATGGATTTATGCATAAGATTGCTTCATGACTTTTGGACCCTAACATTCACAATTTGTTGAAAATAACAAACAAGTGTTGAGTTCCAGTACATCTTACGCCTATAATTCTGACCCCACATTCACATTCCTCCTCCAATCTGAGGGATACATTTTCTATACTTTACAGATTTGACATTCCGGGGAGTTTACCTGGTGAGTACGTTTGAAGTGGTTCGACAGACTGCTGTAAGTCCGTGCCCCGTAGTCACAGTCTGGTACGTGACAGCGGAATGGCACCTCCACACTATGGCTATCCATGTGTTTCCGTAGGTCTGCAGCAGTCTTACAACTGGAAACACAAAGAATGATGGGAAATATCACAGAGCATGCTGGGTAAGACAGAGAATCATAAATTAGATCATACAGCATGCTGGGTTAAACAGAGAGCACTCTGGGTAAGTTTAACTAACAATTTACAGTTTACAGCGTTGGCATGACTTACCACTGTTTGCCTGAACTTACCAGTATTCAGTGTTGACATTTGTATGGTTTATCCGGACTAAAAACTAGTGTTGAACTTTGACCTCGCTTACCACTACTTACAGTGTTAGCCTTTGACCCAACTTATAAGTTATTGCAGTGTTGACCTTTTGACCTGACTTCCTAGTTTTTGCAGTATTTACCTTTGACCTGACGTACAAGTTTTACAGGGTTGACCTTTGACTTGACTTTCTACTTTTGGCAATGTTGACTTTTGACCCGGTTACATAGTGTCGACTTCTACAGAACTTACCTGTGTTCACAGTGCTGACACTTGAACGGTTTGTCGTTAGTGTGACGGTATCGCAGGTGAGACTTGAGACTTGATGGTGTGGGACATGTCATCTCACAGCATGGACACTTGTACTGGTTCACTGAAAATACACAGCCAACATGGTCACAACAAAGGGACACAACTCTTGTGTATATATTGGTGCAAAAAAACAACTTTCCGCATGCGACAATTCACCATCCCAAACTTTACTGACATGTAACCTTTTGCAGTTTTTAGTATGAAGATATGTCACAGAAAAGATGACACAGTACAAAAAATCAATATAACTCAGAGAGAATACTAAGGGTGTAAATAAAGGTTTCTTGTACTAAGGTGTAGATTAAAAGACTCTTTCAGACCCAGGAGCATGGTGTAGGGAAATTCTACTCAAGGGTTTCTAAACTTGGAAGACCACAAGGAACGCTTTGGTTTTGCCCTTAAATGGAAATTCTGTAGGTAAGATTTCCCTATCCGACACCCCTGGGCATTACAGAGTATTTTTCTCTCATTCCCAGCACTAAAATAAACAATCAATAAATTGTTTCAGTTTAAAAAATTTCATCACATCTGCTTGGCTTCAGTAAACTTGGCAAGTACTCAGAGCAATCCATACTACCCCACGACCACTAGTCAAAGGGCAATAACTCTGTATATACATGTATCAAGGCATAAAAACAAATTACAGTGAGCAACACACACCATCCCAATTGATACTCGCAAACAACATTTAACTGGTGGGCGTAGCCCAGCAGGTTATGCTATCGTGCCAGAAGAAAGGGCTCGTGTAAAATAACTGAAAAATAAGGGGCCACTTTAATAAGACTCATCTTCGCAAATCTTGTCGCGTGAGATTTTAGACAGAACCCTGAGGGTTTAGTGATAAACCATTTAAGACTTTTAAATTAAGTTATTTCAAAATAAGCCCTCATAAGCATGCTTGTATATACAATATAAATGTATGTTCAGCTGTGTTAAAAACAGTGTCAACAGCACAGTGTATATTGTGTCCATAA